TGTGTGTGTGTGTGTGTGTGTGTGTGTGTGTGTGTGTGTGTGTGTGTACAAGCTTTGAAATATCTCCTTGGTCTCTTATTGCTGACTGCTTTGTTGATGCCTGCTTAGGAAGTATTTTTGTAACTGCTTTTGAGAGGCCTACTTGAGCTAACTTTTGCCACAGTGAGGCATCGTTCATGAAGCATGAGCTCAGGGGAAAGAGTGGCTGCTTCAGATGCTTCAAATGTGCCACGGAACTGAAGCAGGTCAAGCAGCAGAGGAGAACGCACTGAATGTTGTCCGTGAATCTTTCCTATTTTGGCTCAACATCTCCGTGCATTTCTCAGCCTTTCTTTCTTGTTTGTTTAGTCCATTAACACATACTTGCCACGTGCATTTCAAATATGTCACTCTGCTTATTACTTCGAAATTTTGTCTGTGTTATTTTTATACATTTAAAAATGTCACATTTTATGAGTTTTGTCCCACACTCTTCTGCAATGGCAATCATCATTGACAAGCTCTTTGAGGTTTACTCTTAGTTAAATATCCACCTTTGTTTTGTGTAGTATGTCTCTATGCTGATTTCTCTTTTAAATACCTCATTCATTCTGGCGTTTGGACGTTTGGCAAAGACTTTTTCCTCTTTCTACTTTGACAAACTACCTTTAGCCAGCAATAACATTCTTAAAAACTTCTTTCTAGGTCAACCTATTTTTCAGTTGTTAACAGTCGATTTGGATCAAGAAAACACTCCAAACTCTCAAGTCTTTTATTTCCTCGTTTCTCAAACACCGCTACTGAGAGAAAGTGGCTTTCGGATTGATCTCATCAGTGGGGAAGTGCGACTCTCGGGATGCTTAAATTATGAGGTTATGTAGATTTTCTGATTTTAAAAGCCCCAGGGCTGCTGAGCTGACTCTCTTGGCAAACTACTTGCTGTACTATCAGGAGGATCGAAACTCCAGCCTCAGAATCATGCAAACAACAGCTGAGTGTTGTGGCAGGGTACCTGTTGTTCCAGAGCTACAGAGGCAGAGAAAGCCGCCTCAGTATCCTGGCCAGCCTCGCACAAGGCTCCATGGGAGACTTTGAAAATGAAGAGCAACACCCAAGGTTGACCTCTGGCGCGCGCACACACACACACACACACACACACACACACACACACACACACACACAATGTTTTGCTTATGTTTGAGCCCCAGGCTGAGTCCACATGTGCAGCTGAGAATCTTCTGTGACTAAGTCTTGCTCTAGAAATTGCTAGAAGAAAATGTCTTTGTTAATGTTCCCCTCTTCCGTATTTGTGGTGCCTAACATTCCTTTTCCTCCCCATGTAGACAGCTCCTTGGATCACGCTGATAATCAGAGCGAGCGATTGTGGAGAGCCACCCCTGTCGTCCACCGCCACCATTCATGTCCATGTAGAAGAAAGCAACAACCACATGCCGACGTTCACAGAAGACCATGTAAGGCATAGGCGGCCTGGTTTCCAAAGCCTCTCCCAAATGCTCCCCAAGTCCTAGACTGAGGGACTTCCATTGGCTTATGAGCAAGATACATACAGTTCTCCAAAGTGACCCAACCTGCAATAGTGAAGTCCACCTGGGGCTAGAGAGAGAGCCCAATCTGTAAAATACTAGCTGCCAAAGTGTGAGGACCTGAGCTTGATACCCTCCACCCATAGAAAACTCTGGGCATGGTGGTATCCATCGAGAACAGGCAGGAAGATCCATGAGGTCCACTGGCAGCCATCTTTGCCTAATTGGCAAGCCCCAAGTTTCAGTGGGATACTTGTTTCAAAAAGCAAGCTTGGAGTCATCAGGGTGGCTCAATGGGCAAAGACCTTGTTTCCATCCTGACATCCCCAGGATATAGCTAGAAGGAGAGAACTGACTCTTGTCTTTTGGGTGCTCATGCGTGTGTATGTCATGCACATAATTCCGATAGGGGTTTCCCTGGGTGACCCAAAGAACATCCTGCACCCCTCCTAGACACTCTAAGCCTTTTTGTTCTTTGATCTTCCTCGTGTGTTCTATTTAATGAATTCACTTGCTCTAGTTTCTGCCTAATCTCCTCCCTGCACACATGCGTCCTACTGTCAGCTCCTTGGGGATATTTATTATTATTGTTAATTTTTTTGCCAACACATAGTAACTGTTGCATTAATGATTCAACCAATTAATTTTAAAATGTGTCATTTAAATTTTTTTAATTACATAAACCAGCATAGAATATTTTCAGATGAAAGCACCTCATCCAAAAGTTTGTACAAATGGCAAAATAACATTACAGTTAAACCTTGGGTCAGAATCTTCCCCTGGCTTAAGAGAAATCTATGTGCTCAAAAATAAGCCTGGAAAAAAATACATCACTGCCCTGCTGAGCTTGCTCAGGGACATGTCACCCAAAAACACTGAAAAGCGAGCTCTTTCAGGAAACCATATGTGCTAGAGAGATGATCATCTTGATCCAAATAAATCTCTCCCCTGCTGGGGGAAGGGCTGGACTACTTAAGGCTCATAGGCTGAAATGCGCACTGCATCTTGAAAGTGCTCAGCAAAATAATGCACTGAGTCTGTTTAAAATGACCCAGCTGTAGACACAGTCTCAGGGGACGCCATTTGTCGGAAGGCTCAAGGTTCTGCCTGAATGGTGTTTCTACTATAACTGGAGGAATTCAAACACTTGAACATCAATGATGCCTCGCTGAGGACTCTTCCCTTCCTTCTCTCCCTTCCTGCCCTCCTTCTCCATGGTGTGTCTTTGTGTCTGTGACAAGGAAACAACACTTATTTCTTCCAGTATAAGATTCAGATTTCCGAAGGTCACGTCGAATGGGGCCTGTTGTATCTTCCCGTTCAAGATCAAGACTCACCATTCACACCAGCATGGAGAACGCAATTCAACATATCAGATGGCAACGAGGAGGGGCATTTTGACATCATGGCTGACCCTGAGACCAACCAAGGAGTATTAAATGTTGTCAAGGTAAAGTCAAGACCAGGTGGTCGTGGATGCTGTGCTCCCTGTCTGGACTGAGGGGTTGGCACCTGCTAAACACTCATTGAGCATTGAACACTCATTGTGCCCTGTGCCACCCTTGGAAGAATGCAGGACCCCCTGAGACCTTTGTGTAGAGGCCAAGGACTCCTCGTGCCAAAACAATAATAATCAGCTTTTCAAAATGTTATTGAACTCTTTGACCTTGTTGTTGCAGGCAACGTTTACTACATTTACATGAGCCCTGGAGGTTTTTATATTTTCATTTTTTTCTGATGCGAAACTTAAAAAGTATTTATTTATTACTCTCAAGTATCGAAGACTGGCCTTGAATTTGCTGTGTAGTAGACTGTTCCCTTGAACTTCTGATCTTGTTTCTAATTCTCTAGTGCTGGGGTCATGGATGAGCACCACCATGCTTGCTGTGTGTGGTGCTGGGGATCGAACCCAGGGCTTTGAGCATGGTAGGCAAGAGCGTTACTAGTTGGGCCACATTCCCAGTTCCTTTAAAAATGTTTCTCTATGTAAAAGTTCTTCTTTTAATCTCCTGGGTTTAAAACATTCTAAACTTCTGAAGTATAAACACTGGGGCATTCGTGTAGGTTGTAATGCGTGAAGAGCTAGAGGATCCATTTACCATACATTCTGGAGAATCTGACCCTGGAGGGAAATACTACTGCCATATTTTATAGGTGAGGATATCAAAGATCAGAGTGGTCCTTAACATAAATTTGCATAGCTAAGATGAATTCTGACAAGGCAGGCAGACTCCAGCGCTTTTAGTCTCTGTGGCTCTCAAGGAGACCTAAGAGTGTCCAGTGCCCCTCTCACAGTGAAGCTAAGTCAACTGGAGGGGCCCTCTGAAGTCAGTACATCTGGGTGGAGTTGAGATCCTGTCTGTTAGTTGAACAAGCTCCAGAAAATAAGGAGGGGCCACGGGCCACACTGTGAACAGCAAATCCTGACAACCCTCTGCACAGTCGCCTGCCATTGAGTTTTTCAAACCTCCTGGCTTCTCAGTCCTTCCGAGTCCCTGGCCACTTTGTACCCTGAGTAACTATGATCATTAGTATCTACATTTCTCCAAGTTTCTCTGATTTTTTTTTTTCCTGTGGTGTGGTTAACACTTGAATGTTTCATGAGTTCTGGTTTTTGTTGCATTTTTCATCGCCTTCTGATGGCTCCGTGCAGCCAGGAGAGGAGGAGGAAAAAAGTGAGCCCCATAAGTGATGTGAAAGGGATCTGAAGACTGGCTTTTGATCATTTCCCTCCTCGGCTGGGTTCCTTATGACTCTGCGGAGCTTCCTCCAGCCAGGGGAGCAGCAGGCACTCATCAGGCCCTCTCTTTTCTTGGCAGCCTTTGGATTATGAAACCCAAGCAGCCCACAGCCTCGTCATTGTTGTGGAGAACCAGGAGCCGCTCCTCTCTTGTAAGGAGGGCCAGATGAGGCTGTTGAGGAGGGCCATGGCCAGCACCATGGTGACTGTGCGGGTGGTGGACGCCAATGACCCACCGGCCTTCCACCCCAGGACCTTCATTGTCAGCGAGGAGGATGGAGCCCGGCCTGGCATCCAGCTGGGAGATTTCAATGCTACAGACCCAGACAGGCCCACAGACAGCCAGATAAGGTGGGCAACAGATGAGTGGAAGGAAAGCGTGGCTGGCTCCAGGGAGGAGGATTGCTGGCCACCTGACTGCTGGAGCATGTTGCTGAGACTTGCTCAGTCGCAGGAGTAAAAGCGTAAGAAACTACCTGGTGAATTCCATTGGCTGGATTTATCCAGCCTACTCAGCAACTCCTGGATGGGTTACTCTAACTCCTGCCCTCACCCTGCAGCTCCCTCCTAGAGTTCCCCACTCACTTCCCTTTGACCGTAGCCTTTTTGGTATAAAAATGATTTATTACATGTTTCTGTGTCTCTCTTTGCAAGATGCCATAGCTCTGTTGCTTCTGCATAAATACTTCTACTAATATTAAATATTCTAGATGAAATCTTTAATAGTCAAATCTTTTTGATAAGGAATATATGTATTACCACTTTAAGAGTTCAGTCTGGGGCACTGAATGCATTCATACACCACTCAGAACATCCTTTGTTTACCTGGAATGAAGCTCTCTACCCAAGATACACCATGTCTTCAGGCCCCTTCCCAAGTCCCCTTCCCCAGGCCCTGGCAGACTCTACTCTATCTCTCGTTCCTATGTCTTGACCTCTCCAGCCATAGGGTCCTGCAGCATGGCCTCAGGTACCGCTTATCCGAGGTTCTGGTTGAATGTCTACTATGAGAAGGCAGAGTTGGTGTCTGGAGGGCAGAATTAGTTTTATCTTGCTCTGTCTAGTAGTCAGTTATTTTTCATGCCTTGAGGGTATGATGTATGGCTGAACTCTTGAATTTCCACCCTTGGCTTATAAACATTATAAAACCACAAGAACTTTTGGAAGTTTCCCTAGTTGGTAAAGTTGTGCATGAGAAAAAAAAAATCTCTTTAAATGCTATGGCCCATTTGCTATCAAGAGGAATCATGGTGGACCCTGCTGAAAGCATCTTCCCAGATGAGGAAGACCAAACACATGGAGAAGCTGCTCTTCTCTGGCACTTTCTTTGCCTGAGCTTTGTTGTTGTTGCTGCTGCTGACTTGAGCACAGCAATCCCTTATTGTGGTCTCTCTAGAGGCATAGTGGTTAGCAACTGGCATGGTCCAATGGGTACCATCTGATGCCAGCCACTCTCAGAAATGCTGGAGTATATGGCCTACCTTTTAAAATGGCTCCATGTCCACAAGGCGAGGAATAGGAAGATGATCCTCAGGTGAGGGAATTCTTTGTTGCTTCAAAGCAGACACTCCAAGAGGAGTCAAGACCCATTCTTTGGTGGTACGCTGTACTGAACAGGATGCCACCACTGACTGATACCTGAGGACTGGATCTGCTCCTGAACCACGTGTTTCCCCAAGGCAGATCAAGTCATCCTCAGGCCACTACAAGGACACTTATTCTAGTGACGCTGAAGCTGGCACACTGATGAAGCCTTCACTGTCATCCTTGAGCTTTCTTTAAGCTCGTGAGCACTTGGACAAGCATTTGGATTTCAGTTGTCTTTGAATTCCCAAAGTACTTGTGATGGGAGTTATAGTCTTAGTCAGTGCTCTGTTGTTGTGAAGAGACACCATGACCATGGCTACTCTTGAAAAGGAAAACATTTAATTCGGGCTTGCTTATTGTTTCAAAGGTTTAGCCCACGATCATCATGGCAGGAAGCATGCAGGCGGAGTAAGCATGCATACTTATGGTGCTGGATAAGTAGTTAAGAGTTCTACATCCAAATCCACAGGCAGCTGGAAGAGAAAGAGCCTCAGGGGCCTGGCTTGGGTTCCTGAAACCTCAAACCCACTCCCAGTGATATATTTTCTCTAACAAGGCCACACCTCCTAATCCTTTCAATAGTGTCACTTCCTGATGACCAATCATTCAATTCTATGAGCCTATAGAGGTAAGCCATTCTTATTCAAACCACCACAAAAGCTCTATGATATATTTTTATTTGTTGTTAAAAAAATTTTTTTGAGGCAAGGTCTTGAACCCTTTATATAGCTGAAGATGGTTTCAAACATATGATTTCCTGACCCCATATCCCAAAAGTTATGGGGTGACAAGCATGAGCCACCATACCTATGGCTTGTCTTTTGGTAAAATTTTCTAATTAAAAAAAATGTGTCTGTGTTCCTTCTACAAGATACGAACTGGTTCATGATCCAGCAAATTGGGTGACTGTGGATGAGAAATCAGGCGTGGTCACCACCAAGAGGCAAATAGACCGGGAGTCCCCTCATGTGAACGGCAGCTTTTATACAATTATCGTCCATGCAGTTGACAATGGTAAGTGCTGAGGCAGAGCTGGGAGCAAACTGTGCTGGCCCTGGCCTCCTGAGGGAGGCCATTTTTACCATCACTGAGGAATTTAGAAAATAAACCTTGTTTTCACTTTGCCTGGATGCTAGAGATTATTTTTGATAATAACTCCTGAAATGGCAAACTAGGGACCAATACTGCTGAAAGAGGGGCAGTATTCACTCATCAGAGACAATTAAACCAGCGAGGAATCTGCCATCAGGCCCACCATTTTCATCTGTTCATGAGATAATGCAGGAGCGCTTTGTCAAGCCCAACGATGTGTGATAAATATTTAGCAGTTTCCTGTACCTGGAATGGCTCATAAGCTCCACCAAATGTGACTGAGTGGAACACATTTGTCATAAACCGGGATGAGTGGTTTTAAAAACATGTCTTAGCACATTTCTCTATATTCCCACAAGGCTGAAGTTAAATGCATCAAAATATAAAGCTGCAAGAGCCAACATTTTCAAGAAACATTCAGAATTGTACCTAAGAAATCTGTGGATGAAAACCTGTGTTCCTGCTGCTGTGGGTCTACCCAACTCACTCACACAATCATCTGGTAGAATATCAGTGGAGCAAGATCCTAGTTGATGTTCAGGAAGAGAGCTGGCCAAGCAGAACTCAGAGTGTCATGAGTCTGCTATGGATGGTTTCATGATCACCGTAATTTATTTTTAATTAGGAAAGATGATTTTTAAATAATCATACATTTGTTGCCATGATTCTTTCCTGCCCTCTCTTGGGCTCCCCGCCCTTGTGATTTCTATCGGAATAATTCAGAGAGCATATGTTGGAGTGTAGAGATAAATGAGTTTATTATAGGGGAAAGTAGGCTCCTCAAGAAATGAGAGTGTCCATAGGACCCATTGAGGAGGAAAGTATACCCTTCCCCAGTGACAGTTCTGATCAATTGCCATGGCTCCACCTGGAGTCAGAGTCCTCAGTTTCAGCCTCCGGTTTTACCGGTTGCTGATTATAAGGGAAGATCTACCCAGAGTGACCCCCAACCCTGTTAATAGCTGACCAGCCACCAATAGATTCACATGTGGCTTTAGCATCCCAGCACCCTTGACCCAGCTTCCCGCAGTGCACTTTATAAAACTGCCATCACAGGCAAGATCCCCATCCGGCCAGAGCTGACCCAGTCTTCCCTGAGGATCCCGAATGCTACCCTTTTACAGGTACTCGTTCCCCTCCCAGCACCACTACAACATGGAACATGACTGACAGGACATGTGTGATTCTACACTCTACCCCATTCACAAATGGCCCGAGATGACAAGGATTTGGTTACTTTTCCTAGACGGTCTGACATTTCATATAGGCAAGAAATAGACTGAGCACCAGCCCAGATGGTTCATGGCTTTTGAAAAAGCAGTGAAGGATGCTTCAGTGAATGGTCTACTAAGCAGGGACACGCCCAGACAGAAAAATGAATACCTCTCCAGACAGCTATCAGCTGTCACTGGCAGCTGTAGTTCAGGAGCTACTGACACTGCTGTTTTGTAATTTCAGGTTCATCCTCTCACTTTAGTATCATAACCTCCTCTGATATCCGGGTTCTTTCCTCTCCAAGGCCTCCCACCGCTGACTGGCACGGGGACTCTGCTGCTTTTCCTGTCTGATGTCAATGACAATGCTCCAACTCTCCAGCCCCATTCTCGACACTTGGCGGTCTGTGAGTCTGCTGGGAGCAAGGCCCTGCTGTTGGAAGCCGCAGATGCAGACCTGGATCCCTACTCTGCCCCCTTCACTTTTGATTTGGACACCACCCAGGGAGATGTGGAAGACACTTGGATGCTGAGGACAAAGCAGGGTGAAGGTTTGAATGGGTTGAGGGACAATCCAGACTGGAATAAGTGTGATTTAGGGCAGGGACACTGAGTCACACAGTCTCAAGTGACCCAGCCAGGCTTACTTACTAAGACCCAAAAAGGACTCCAGGCACGAGGACCAGGGTGAGCTTGCATGCCTGTTGTCATTCATGGCCTTCCCAACACCATGGGAGAAAATGACTGCATACTTGGGTGTCTGTTCTGTGCTCTTCTCTTCTCCAGTTTTCATCTGGGTCCTTGTCCCTGTAATGAACAGCACCCATGGCTGTGACAGTGTGCATGGCGCTCTGTAAGTCCTAGAGCATGTTGCCATATGACTTTGAGGGAAGATGTAAAGAATGTTTATTTACCCCACATAAAGAGACTGACAAACTAAAGAGAGGGCTCACTCCAAGTCCAGCTTGACAAACTGAGGGTTCTTATGAGAGCATGGATGAGTCAAAGGCAGGATCGTGTGGCTGTAGGTAGGATCCTGTGGGTATAGGTAAGTTCTTGTAGGTACAGGTAGGATCCTGTGGGTGTAGGTCATATCCTATAACTTTTCTAAGTTGCTTGTTCAGACAGTGTAACTTATGGTAAAGGTTGATGGTTCCATAAGACTTATGGAAGAAGGGGAGTGGTTGTGTAGAGGGACTGGGAAGGGACCAGAGCTCCACAAGGAGACCAATAAAGCTAACAAATCTGGGCCCAGGGCAGCCTGGACCATGCATGGAGAGGACCTAGACCCCTGCTCAGATGTATCTGATAGGCAGCACAGTCTCCATGTGGGTCACTTAGTAAGGGGAGCAGGGGCTATCTCTGATATGAACTTGGTTGCCTGCTCTTTGATCACTTCCCCCTGGCGGTGTGGCCTGGCAAGGATGCCGGCAGTCCTGGTGAGACTTGATAGGCTAGGGTCAGATAGCAAGGGAGAACTCTCCCTCTCAGTAGACTATGGGAAGGGAATAGAGGGAGAAGAAGGAGGGAGGGAGGCACTGTGAAGAGATGAGGGAGGAGGCTACAATCGGGTTATAAAGTGAATAAACTGTAAAAAATGAAAAAGTAAAATAAAAATTAAAAAAATATTAATGTTGCAGATGTTTCTTCTGACAACAGAGTTATAACATGGGTAGGGGAGGAGTGTTGTTTATATTTAGGAATGAGAAGTGCTAAAAATCCAAGGCTATGGATCACCCTAGCAGAGCTTATCTGCACCTTCATTTGGGGTCTTTAAGAAAATATGCACCATCCTCTCTGTAGGCAATTTTGACTGTATCAATGGTGTCTGACAGGAAAGGTTATCCAGATCCTGGGACAAAGGGCCTCTTTTTTCCCCCCCAGCTGCTGCTTGCTTTTCTGATTTTCTGTCGTGTCCCATGGAAGATTTTTCTATCTTTCATGCAGAGTCTCAGCCCTGGACAGCAGCAAGGAGAGACACAGGAGGCAGATGAGCCCACCTATGTCTTTTTGCCTTTGCAGGCCACTCTGTTGAACTCATAATGCTGAAAAGCCTCCCGCCTGGAGACTACTTGGTGCCGTTATTCGTAGGAGACAGACAGGGCCTCACCCAGAAGCAGACAGTCCACGTGAGGATCTGCTTCTGTCCCAGCGGATCTGAGTGTGAGGAGCGTGCAGACACAGGGCTCCTGTGGTGGGCCCTGTCCCCTGTCTGTGCAGCATTCCTGACTCTGGCAGGTCAGTGCTTCCTGGGAGCTCAGCCTCGGGACAAGGGGACAGGCTCTGCATGGGGAGGAGGAGGAGGAACTCTGGGTTTGCCCAGGTCAAAGGTTGCCAGGCACGCTAATTGACCAAAATGCAGTTTCCATGGGCAGGCAATTATGTAAACAATGGAATCCCCAGAGGAACATGGTCCAAGGGTTAGCATATGTTTGCAGTAACCATGGTTACAGTGGTACACAGGTGTCTAGGATCTTGGGCATGGCTCAGGCGATAAGGGCACTAGTTATTCCAGGAAACAATAGACTCTTCGTGGCCAGTTAATATCAAGCAATGAATTCAACGAAGAGTGTTGGCATCTGAGTCCCTCGTGCTGTTAGTCGTGCAGTCCTAAGATGGTTCAGATGGAACCTGGCAGCTGAGTGGAAGTGAACAGAACCTGGTCCCCTTGAGGCTCTGACAGGGCTGAGCTGGCTCATTCCTTTCTGTCTTGTTACAGCTGCCCTGTTTTCCCTGTTGCGGTGCTACTACGCATTTGGGCCTGAGAGACACGGAGACTTCATCCCAGGTGACAGTGGCCACCAGACGCTGATTGCGTACAACGAGGAAAGCAAAGCCCAGGTAGTGATGGTAGAGCAGGGTGTTGCATGGCAATGCTGTCAACAGCATGCATCCATTAGGCGCAGACGTCATGGATGTGTGTGTGTGTATGAGTGCCTGCATGCATGTCTGAACACCAGGTGTGGGCAGTACCTGCAGAGGCCAGAAAAGGGTTTTGGATCCCCCAGAACCGCATTTATGACTTGTGATGGTTGTGAGCTTCCATGTGGGTGCTGGGAACTGGACCCAGATCATCTGGAGGAGCCACCAGTGCTCTTAACTACTCAGCCATCTCTCTTGCCCCACATTTCATTACTCTTAATTCATATTTGCGTTGATACGCAGGAAATCATTTCTTCCAAAATTGCATAGCAGAGACAGATGTGTTTTACATTTGTGTTTCACATCAGTGATTCTCAACCATGCTCAGTTTTGCCCCTGAGGGGACTGTTGGCAATGCCTGGAGATACTTCCGATGGTCGCAATTAGAAGATGCTATGAGATTCTGGTGGGCTGAGGCCAGGGCTGTCGTCAATCATAACCCAACACAGATTTATCTGGCCCAGTGTCCCCAGTGCAGGCTTGAGAAATAGAGCTTAGGAGAAAATTATTCTGTCAGGTTGGGGTTTTTCTGGGTGGCATTGCTTTGTTTCCTGGTGAGGAAGTGTGAGGTGTCTTCTCCATGGTCAGTCTTCCTGAGACAGAACCTCTGCTCGGTCCTCCTGCCACACAGAGAAGAAGAGAAGAGCTCTCCCTCCCTGGTTTTGCAGGGACAAGGCTTGGCTCTGTTTTTGCCACTGTGTCTTACTGGCTCATGTAGCTGAGCCAGCCGAGCTGTGCTCTTCTGTGGCCTAGACTGATGGAGTCAGCTCCCCAGGTAGTGAATTGGAGCACAGTACCTAAGAAACCGCCCAACACAGCTTGGCCTGCATGTAGTCAGCCCCAGGGGTGGCTGGATTTTCCCACTGGAAATGTGGAAATGGAGCCTTGCCTTGTCTTGAAGCTACTTTGGGCTGAGTCAGATGGGCCATGAAATGATGGTGCCACGAACTATCCTGTCTGTCTTATGAAACCAGGAGTGACTGATCTAAGAAAGAGCAACAATGTCAAAAGGAAGTTCTGTATATTTTTTGGCCCCTGGAGGTACCCTATGTTACTTTCTCTTTACTGACACCAAATACTCGGTAGAAAAAAAAATCAATAACAACAACAAAACTTAAGACAGGCTTTTTTTTGTTTGTTTTCTTTTTCTTGACTCATGGTTCAGGAGGTAAAAATCCATAATACTGAGGAAGGGTGTGGAGTGGAGGCTGGGATGAGTGGGTCCATGGAGGTAGGAGCATCAGGAATGCCTTTTCTCCTGGTAAGAGAACTCAGGCCAGAACCCAGAGTCATGCTATGACCTCCGAGAGCCCGCCCCAGTGGCCCAGCTCTCCCTGCCATGCCTCCCTCCCCTTAGATTCCACAAGTTCCCCGAAACAGCAGCTGGGACCCAAGTGCTCTGCCCTGGGGTCTTCAGTGCTCTGAGAGCTGAGAGCCAACCAACCTGAGTTTTGATTTCCCATTGGTGAGCAGAAGTTAGGCTATCTTGCTGGCTCTGGCTTGAATATGTCCACTCCCTTGGACAATTTAATCACTACAGGCATGCAACACATGCCAACAGCTGACCTCATTGGTACCTAATACCATTTCAACATAGTCATGCCTATTTGTCTATCCATCTCATTTGACCATGCCAGCCAATACAGTCCCTACACCAGGGACATTCTGTTCCCTGGGGAAGACTCCACCTAGGATGCCATCCACCCACATTGTCACGTTCTGCTGCTCAGGTGATCCTTGGGATCATGTGGAATCCTGTCTCTTCTGTGGGGAGGCAGGTGGGCTCCACTAAAGCATCCATTAATGCTGGAGTCTCTTGGGGATGAGTTCTGGTGAGGGAAGTTAAGATGAGACCCCGAGGGCCATTGCAGGTGGCTTAGGAGAGGTCTGGGGGGGGGAGGTTGTCTCATGATATGACTGACATACAACCTGCACAGTAGGGAGCTCACCCCCTCACCAGCTACTTGGAATGACAAACAGTAAAACATCCCTCCCCCAGATGTTCCATCTGGGTGTATGGGGTAGACGCCTCCTCCCGGATGGCATTGCTGTTACATGTTTTAAGTCGGGCTCTCTTTGGTTGTTGGTCTTTCTGACTGCCCTCAGTAACTCTGACCTCTTCTGTGTTTCTTCTCTTGGTGTTCACAGATGCAGCCAGCTGAGTTAGACCAGATGCTCACTCTGTCCTTCAACAGAGCTGTGGCCGGTGCCAAGCCTGGGGCGAAGGTAACACCCTCTGTAGCATCTGCCTGCCTTTAGTTCTGCAGAAGAAACACCCTGGCTGCTTCTCTGGCTCACGTGTAATGAGACTTCTGGACAAGGAACTGGAGAAGGAAGGATTTTCTCACTGTGCAGTTCAGTGTAGTTTAGAGCCATTTACAAACTTGCCCAATCTTTTTTTCTCCAAGTAGTTAGTAGGTGCCTCCATTTTGTAAGACAAATTCTGACTCTAGGCTACCAAATTTAAAGGCAGGACCAGGGTCTCTGGTTACCCTATTCACTCAGCCCTACTGGTAGGGTATGCCTACCTTGTCCCCATTATTACAGCCATGATATATGGCCTGGCATTGCTTTCTTTTACCTTCTTTAGTCTGGAAGTTTCTGGAGGCCAGGGTACTACTGAGGTGTGGCTTGTTGTCCAACCCTGTGGTTGTGCATGCCCACTCCACTGAGTTCACAGTAGATCCGTATAGAGAAGGAAAGAACTTGCGGAGTAGTTTCTTTTCTGTGACAAAGCACCAAGAACAGAAGCATCTTGTAGAAGGAAGAGTTCATTTTGACTTACAGTTCTGGAAGGAGAGTCCATCATGTTGGAGGCGTGGCAGTAAGCAGCAGGGGCAGGAGCCAAGGCATCACATCTTGATTACATACAGGAAGCAGAGGGGGAAGTGAAAGTGGGGTGACCCACTTTTTCCTGCGTGTCTCCTTTCTAAAGGTTCCACAGCCTCCCCAGAGAGCAGCACTACAGGGCTGGTCCCCACTTTATGAGGAGAAAACTGAGGTCTTTTGGTGTCCAGTTTTGGCTGTCCCTGGGTTTCCTTCCTGGGGTCCTATGTATACTAAGCACATTCGTAGTGGCATATAGACCAGTCTCTGTTCAAAATTTTCAAAGCTGCGGAGCCACTCAAGACTTGTTGCCAGCTCAGTGCTCTATACTCTGCTGCAGAAAAAGGATATCTTCAAGCCAGTGTCAAGCTCCACTTCCAGCTGCTTTTCCTATACGGTGTCTGTCTGTCTGTCTGTGAGTGTGTGTGAGTATGTATGTGAGTGTGTGTTTGTGAGTGTGTGTATGTGAGTATGTGTATGATATGTGCCTGTGTGCTTGAGGGTATACATGTGTACATGTGTGCACTGTGCTTGTGCTTGGAGGCCAGAGGTCAACCTCACATCTCTTTCATTAGGATCCATCTCCTCTGTTTGTTGTTGTTGTTTTGGTTTGTTTGTTGAGATAGGGTTTCTCACTGGGATGTGGGCCTCACTGATTAGGCTAAACTGGCCGGCAAGCCTCGGGGATCCTCTGGCCGTCACCTCCCCAGGGCTGGGAGTGCACACAGAAGCCACTCCTTTCAGCTGTGTAATTATTGTGGATGCTGGGCAGCTCAGTCATGGCCAGCCATGGCTTGTGCATGGCCAGCCCACCAGCTTGGTCTCCTTTGAAAATTTGCTTTATTATTGATTGGAAAGTCTAAATTAAAATAAAGAGGCTGCCTTAGGATTTCATTGTGGTGAAGAGACACTATGACCAACTCTTATAAAGGAAAACATTTAATAGGGATTGGCTTGTAGTTCAGCGGTTTAGAACATTTCTGTTAGGACAGGAAGCATGATGGCATGCAAGTAACATGATGCTAGAGAGGTAGATGAGAGTTCTCCATCATCAGCAAGCAGCAGGAACAGAGACACGCTGGACCTGGCTTCAGCATCTGAAACCTCAAAGCCCACCCCCAGTGATACACTTCCTAGTCCAGCAAGGCCACACCTCCTAATAGTGCCACTGGCTATGGGCCTATAGAGGACATTTTCATTCAAACCAACACAGAGATCTTAAGCAAACATTGCCTGCTATCAGATCTCTTAAGCCTAAACCATTTCCATTTGCCAGCATCCCTCCTAGAACTCTGCCCTGTGCTCACTCACCCTTTAGGGGCCTGTGTCAGTCATAGGTGCTCTGACTCCATGTCTCATGCTAGCAGGCTTCTCAGATGCCTTATGCTTTTCCCACTCCTCTTCCTGCCCTGATTCCTTGACTCTGAGAGTCTGTGTAGGAGGGGCGTGCAGAGTCACAGGGGCTGGTTAGCTTCCTGTTGGGAGAAAATGATCACCTTGAAGAAAACCAGCATTTCTCTCAGGGCCTTGATGTGATCCTGCCATGGACAGACCAAGTGCCCTCTGCTCTGATGACTCTGGTAGGTTACAGAAGGTTTCTCCCAGCTGCAGTCACATCAATAGTGATGCAGATAGTTCCTTCAAGAGAGAGGGCCCTTTGAGAAGATTCAATAATGCATTTATAACAAACATATGCCCAATTAACTCTGAGAGGGGGATCATCTTCTGAAATCTGTGTATTCTAACATTTCTCTGATTATTGTTACTTGTGTTGCTATTGTTTCAGGGTTGGGGTGCCTCAGTGGGTAAATGCTGCACATAAAGACCTGAGGTCAATCTTCTGAGCCCACATAAAATAAATAAGCATGTTGGCTACTTGTATCCCCAATGCTGGGAAGGCAGAGCAGGAGGGCCTACTCACAATGATATTTTATCTCTCTCTCTCTCCTATACATACATAGATGGTTTTGGATAGTCCTTACCTAACAATGCACATTTCAGACCTCCCACAAACAGAAACATCTTCTTGTGTCTGTCTGGGGATGCTAGAGCTCAATCTCTAAGATTAAAAGTATGTGAGCAATCCCACTCTGCTGGAGCAGAACCCTGGGCCCCACTCTACTCAGTGTCTGTATTTACCACACATCCGGACTTGAGAGTTGCAGTCTTGCTTGGCAGGGTGATTTTATTTTCACGACTCGAAAGAAACTGTAAAAAGAACAGTGATGGGGTGTCCATGAACTTTCCAAGGTCCCACAGAGAATGCCTCACCTCACCACAGCACATGTCAGAGTCAAGGAGCAGTAGCTCTCTCCACACAAGTCTCAGGTAGCCATCTCATTCGGACCTCACTGGTTTAATAAGTTACCATTTTAACAGAAGTTTATTTTCTCGGCATAGTAAAGAGCGGTATTCAAGGTGTGAAGGGCCAAGGGCTCTCTACAGGAGGAAACCTTCTAAGATGGAACTCATAATGTCTGCAAGCTCATACTGCTGCTCAGGCTGTGCCTGAGCAAAAAGATGCCATTCTTTGTATAAAATAGATACCTTTGACCCCCAGGGAGGGTCCAGTCACTGCAGGCATTCTTCTCTGGTTCTATAGGCATGGAGCATATGCAGTGGTCCGGTGCAGGGCTTGTGCAGGAACCACACTCAGAGGCCCTTAGAGGGTTTGGCGCTCTGCTGTCACCATCTTCTTGGTCTTAGGTCTTAATTTATTAACCAAGGGGGCTCTGCCATTTCTTTGTGCACTAAGACCTTTATGTTTCCCAACCAATTCTGCATTCTATGGATTGAGTAGGTGTCCAGACACATGCTGAGGTCCTGGCCATGGTCTAGAGAGAGTGCCTTACTGGGTGTGTGAGAACGCAAGGCTGAGTCTGACATCCTCATGCCCCATTACTACACAGCCATGGGACACTTTCTGTAGGCTCTCTGCTGTGAATGTCCCGGTGTGTGTGTGTGTGTGTGTGTGTGTGTGTGTGTGTGTGTGTGGTGTATAAGCATGTGTGGGCTCTCTGCTATGAGTGTCTCTGTGTGGTGTGTGGGCCCTCTGCTGTGAATGTCTGCACTGCTCTCTTCAGCACTCTTTGTCTCAGCAATGAAAATCAGAGTCGTCTCAAGGATCCCTAGCCACGCATTTACCTCTGCTTCTGATTTATATCAAAATCAAGCAAATTTCATTCTTTTTAAATTTAAGGGTAGTGGCATGTTCTTTGAGCCAAGAAGCATGAAAAACCGATCTTCCACTCCGGTAAGTAGGCATTCACAGTACCATAAGCATTACCTTGTTCAAAGCCACTAGAATAGGTGGTTTGGAATAGAAGAAAGAGTAGGTTCAAAATACAGACCACACCCAACACACCTAGGATTGACTATGGATCATGGATTAGAAGTGGCCGAGACAAGGCCAGGGTGATGGCTTGGTCTGTAAGGTACCCGGCAAGCATGAGGCTCTCAGTGGGAGTTGGAGACAGGTGCATCCTTGAAGCTCATTGGTTAGTCATCCTAGCCAAACTGATGAGTTTAAGGTTTACTGAGGGACCATGTATCAAAAACTGAAAGCTGTGGGCCAGTGAGATGGCTCTGCAGGTGGAAAATGATTGGCGCCTGAGTCTGATGACTGGAGTTCTATCCCAGGAACCCACGGCAGATGGTAGGAGAGAACCCGCTCCAGTAAGCTGTCCTGTAAGCTGACAAACTCTGTGGCACAGACAGGACAACAGTCACAATCGTACCCATGTGCACACACGTGCACAAATGATGAAATTTAAGAATAAAAGAAATGTAGAGAGGGGCCCAAAACAGCTGACATAAATGTCAAGTGTCCACACATACTTGCACACACATGCGTGTACCAGAGACATCTATGTACAATGCTTTCCAGTCACACACTCGGAACAAGCAGTTAAGTGCACAGGTTTCCAAGGACATGAAGTAACAGAGGCATCAGTCCTTGCAAATTCCTTTTTGGCTGCTGATTTGCTTCGCTGCTTGAGTGTAACAGGTGTATCTGTGCTTGTCGTTGAGATGTCAAGCTGTGGAGATAGGGCGGATGGGAGAGATCGTCTGAGAGATCCGTCCCACCTCTGAGCATCTTTGGTAGCAGAGCCCTTCTATCCCATCGAACTCCAACCCACCACCCACTCTAAATAAGGCCGATGAATGGACTCTTTAAAGCCCTTGCTTGATAGGGTATTGATATAACTCACCCTTATGAATCAAAGTGATGGGTCCAAATACTGGTTCTGATGAAACCACAGCCCACTCGGGATCTGTGGTGAGGTTGCAGAAGAACACTTCCTAAAGCCTAATTCCCCTCTTGTTCGGAATTGCTCTTGGAAGCAATTCCAAGGTATGTCCCTGGAATCATCCCGAATATCATCAGTATTTGAGCAGTTCTGGTTGTCTGGTGAAAATTCTCTTTGATTCTTTAGACAAAACAAAACAAAAACAAAAAACAAAAACAAAACCCCCAAAACAAATAAAACAAACTGAAAAAAAAAAAACCAACTTAATTCATAGAAGCCAGTTGGCATGGCATCCCAGATGAGGTTCAAAATGATCAAGCACCTTCTGTTGCATTGCAAAAAATAACATTAGAGAGCACAGTTGAAAAAAAAATCTGTGCACAACTAACATGAAATTAAATTCCTTTTGATGAAGTACTGCCTCGCAGTCACAAGACCTGGACACTTGACCCAAGGCCAGTGGCTAAGACCAGAGAGGTGCTGAGTCAGGAGATGCCGCTCTCCTGGCCACATGAGAGCCATCAACCTTCCTCCTGGCTTGGAGCCTTTACTGCTTTTCACTTAGAAATGCCTCTACGCCCTTCTCTGTGGCCCTTCACTTCCTTCTCATGTCCTTCTTTGTCCTAAGAGGTCTTCCTGCCTCCAGCTAGGTGAAAGGCCCTTCTATCCCTTTTGTCACTCGTGGCTTTTCATGTTTCTGTCACTATCGGAGGCTAGCCTAGCACATTCATGCTGTGAACTGAGGAGTAAATTGTCCGACAGCCAGGTCCCCAGCAAACTGGCTGGCCTCCATACAGGACCTGGCATGTAGCTGAGCCAGGGAACCACCAGGTTCATGTTTAGTCCGTTAGTCTGTTAGAGCTGTACACTTGCTCTCTGGACAGCCCTTAGAGCTGGGATAGATGCATTAAAACTGCACCGGGGTGCCCACCTCAGGGAATGACCTGTGCTGGCCATGAGCAAGGCCAAGGGGAAAGAATTTCAAGAAAATATTTGGGTGTGTGGGGGGGGAGCACAACCACACACAAAGATTCCCAAGGAATGGGTTTTGTGGAAGAAACCTCGATGCTGTCTGCAGCCTCCTTCCCTGCAAGAGTGTTTCTACCCAGATGTGAATGAGGCATCGATGCCACTCACAGCAGCTCCCTCTCCCAGCACACAGAGGGAAGCCTGAAACCCTTGTCTATAGCCCTACCCCACCTCAGTTGGTGTCCACTCTGTGCTGAGGACAGAGAACACAGGTACAGGGAGCTGTGTGGTGAGTGAGCCTCAGGCTAGGGGCTGCCGGTTCATTTCGCAGGTCTGTCCGGATCACTTGGTGCCTCGATGCCCCCTGCAACTGATGGAAGAAAAGGTGGTGGAGAGACTGAGCCAGGTAGGTGTTCTTCTTGTCCTTGTCCTTGCATTTGCTGTCAACCCTTCCTCTTCCCCACTTTGCTCTGAGTTTGGCCCAGATGCTCTCTCCTAAATCACTGCCCAGGTCAGCAAAGGCTGCCAATGCAAGGTAGGAGTCTGGTGGCTTCCACACAGAAGTTTATCGCTGCAAATGTTGTCAGAGCTTCTCCTCTAAGGTTCGGGGAGCCTGCCTTGTGAACCCTCATGGTGCCGTGGGCCTGGGAGAGCTCATCAGAGCCTCTGAGCTGAGTTTATGGGATCTTGTCTTGTGAACCCCATGTTGTGCTGGCATCTCCAACTCTGGTGCCAGAGTGAACAAGAGACAGGACTGCAGGGTACCGTGACCCAGGGAAGTGAGCCTAGACTGTGTCTAGGTATAGCGCCTCTGCGAGGGTCTCCCAGTGTTCTCAATCCCCGGGCAGGCGCTACATCTCTGCAGCTGCCTAAGCTCCTGGGGGGGGGGGAGGTTTTGCATCTAGATCTGGGTTAGAAGACTATTTTTTAGGCTCTGATCACTGAAAGGAAGATTCCTGAGGAGACATGATCTCTCTGTCTCTCTGTCTGTGTCTCTCTGTCTCCGTCTCTCTCTCCAGACTAGAACTTCTATGAGGGAACCCTATATCCTTGCAATGTGCCAGATTTCCATCTTTGGAAAAATACCTGACAGAAAATAAATTGGGCGGGGGGGGGGGGGGGCTTATTTCAGCTTCATTTCAGAGGCTTCAGCCCAAGTTGGCTGTCCCCATTGCTGTGGCTTGAACATCATGTACACCATGGTGGTAGGGACACATGGCATAGCAAAGGTGCCCAGTGCAAGGCTGCCAGGATGAAGTCAAAGGTAACAGGAAGAGGCTAGGGCAAGAGAGACCCTGCAGTGACACAACCCCAACGACCCATTTCCTCCAACCACGCCCTACCTTCCATCATTCCATCACTTCCCATCAGTGAGGGCAGAGTCCTCAAGGTCCAATCACAGTCCAATAGCCCCACCCCTGAACATCACTTTAGTACTTTTCAGGTTCCAGGGAAATAGTCAATTAAGAATGAAAGATAGATTTGTCACAAAACTCCAGGAGAAAGGTGGGCCTGAAAACCAAGGGAAGCTACTCCATGTGGTAGAGCTATGAGGGCAGAGCTGGGGCTGGGTACAGGACAGCACTCCCTCATATTGTTGAGCTATGAAGGCAGAGCTGTGTCTGGGCATAGGCCACTATCTCCTCCTTGTGGCAGAGATACAAGGAACAGATCTGGGGCTAGAATATAGGCCACAGAGTCCAAACCAGCCTGCCTGACTATTGAGCAATATCAGTGAGGCTTGTGTTCCCTAGGAAGGATGGTTAGACAGCTGCACCCCATTGCCAAAGATGTTGTGCAAAATTGAGGCCATGCACCTACCTACTTGCAGGGCCTGGTACCCATTCTCATGTGTGTACACACCTAGCTGAGCCAAGCAGGCAGCACAGACAGGGCTACAGGAATGTAGGCAGGAGAAGGCTGCATTTCAGAGAGGAGCCCCCTCCTCCCTGTGCCAGCCAGACACGCAGCTCTGTGCAGTACAACTTAAGCCCTGAGTTCCATGGTGTGAGAAGAAAAGAAAAAAAAGAAAAAGAAAACCCAGATGAGAAGAGCAGTTCTTTCCCTCACGAGCCTTCGAACTTAGTTGGTGGTTTGTGATGAATTATTGATCTTAGGGGACTCTGGAACTGCTGAATCAGGGTGCAGAGCCCTGCTGCTTGGCTGCCAGCCTTGGGGGTTTGAAGCTGAATTCTTGAGGCACGGCCCCTGCTGCTGATTCAGTTTTGTTCTGCACATACCAGGTCTGTCATGAATTATCTATTTAGCTTTGCCCAGCGGACGTGACTGGACTCCTAACATCTGGTCCAGGTCTGGAGTTCGCTTCTCAGCTGCAAAAGCTTCCTCTACTTCCCACCATGTGGGTGAGGAGCGGATGGCAGCAGGGTGGTGGCCATAGCCCTCAGATAACAGGCCCAGCAGGTGTGGATGAGCCATACCTGTCTGTGCTCACTTGATTCCATGCACAGTGGAAGCTGCGTTTCTGCTCTCATGAGGGACGAGGGCTCCTGTGACACAGAGGGAACCAGAGAGCTGGCTCAGAGTGCACTATTGATGATTGCCAGTAGGAGAACACACGAATCAGGTCCTCAGGAACCCTCAGCTTCCCCTTTCCAGGCTTTAACACACCTCCCGTGTTGTGCTCTGAGCCTCCACGTTCTAACTGCTTTCTTCCTCCATAACAAGGTGTCAGGGGTCCCTTTCAGCTCAAAAGACATGTTAGGAATTCCCTCTAGACCCATAACTGATGGAAATGGCTCAGTGTCAGATAGGGCCATCCTAAATATGTTGAAGCTCCTCTTCCACCTTTCCATCTCTCCATCTCTTTGTCATCTGTCTGTCTGTCTATCTATGTATTATCTATCTATCTATCTATCTATCTATCTATCTATCTATCTATCTATCTATC